AGAATTAATTTCGTGCTCGTACACCCTTTATTTATAAATTTTATAAACAACATTTCACTTTTATCTTTTCAGGCCACTTTAAAAGAGATATATTTTTATTATTGAAGTAATCAATATGAATAGATTTATAAATGAGCAGGTCAAAATGATATTTATTAAATAATTAAAGAAATTCTTAAAATTATTTGGTTAATGAATTTTTAAAAAATTAAAAATATATATATAAATAAATATAATTATATTTCACACCCTTTCAAATATATATATATATATTTCTTTCTAATTTTTTTATCAAAATCCATAAATGAAACATACAGTCTATTGTAATTCTTTAACGAGTAAGGGGTAAAACAGAAATTTGAGTGAAGCATAGGGGCATTAATTGTAACTAACAAACCAACTAGAACCGCGACGCTTACGTCAAGTTTGACAAATTCATAAAAAGTCAAAAAATTATTCAAAAAGTTAAAAAGTTAACACTATTTATTAAAAGTAAAAAATTATAGCTGCACAACTTCTAATCTTAATTTTTCCCTACACACTAATTTATACAATTTTTTAATATATATTTTTTCAATAAAAAATTAAAAAATTAACCCAACATTCATATTTTTTTCCTTAATTTTTTAGTCAAAAAAACAAAAATACAGACACCCCAAACAGCCCCTTAATATTCTCCTCGAATCTTTTTCGCTTTTTTTTTCCTTTGATTTTTTGTCGAAGTGGGCCCCACATTTCCCCCGCTCTACCTGCTATTTTGGGACCATCCCATCTCCCTGGTCTCACCTCCTCACCACCCAAATTCAACTATTATTTTATTTCAATTTTAATTAATTTTATTTTTTTATTAAAAAATATTTATAACTTCTAAATAATTTATTAAATTTTTTATATGATTGTAATAATCACACACTTATATAAGAGATTTGATAAAAAAAATTAAGGTATGTTTGGTTTAGTTTTAAGAGAGTAGTTTTTAAAAACTATTTTATAGATAGAGTTTAGAAATTTTTTTAATTTTGTTTGATTGTTTATTCTGAAAGTAGTTTTAGAGTTTGGGAGTTTGGAATAATTTGATATATTGTTGTAATTGAGTAGATGTGTATGAGAGAAAAAGTGATTGAAAATGAAAGAAGAAAAAAAAATAATTGATTAATATGTAAGAGAGAAAAAAATAATTTTAAAAATAATTTTTAAAAAATTACAAATCAAATAAATTTTTAAAAGAAATTTTCCAAAATCACTTTACAAGGCGACACAAAACATACCCTTAGCCCCGTTTGTTTTGGGAGATAGAATGGAGGGGATTGATAGTGAAGGGATTATAGTGAGGGGATTGATAGTGAGGAATTGTTAAATTATTTTTATATAAAATAATTAAACAAATAAAAAAATATAAAAAAATAAACATTATATTTAAAAAAAATTCTCAATATATAAAAAAATAAAAAAACTTTTAATCCCCTCATTATTTTTTTTAATTTCCACATCATATCTCCTCCTTATCAATCCCCCTTCCTCCTCCTTATTAATACCAAGGGATTACTAATCCCGTCCC